ATTTATATTTATCTTCAGGTTATTATTTGATGTAGCCAAACATGATGTTAGTCTTGTGACCTTCAAATTAGCACTTGAGGTAATCAAAGAGTTGTATTATGTTGTTTTATAATTTAGTTAATAATTTGCTTATTTTGCTTTGCTTAGTTGCTGCATGTATATGTTTTTATGCTTTGCTGTTTTGCTTCATTTATTTATATTTATGAATTCATGTAGAGTATATTATTTACATGGTAACAGAATATTTATCGCAGTTATGTTTATGAGATACATAAACTAATACATGTAAGACACAAGTTTAAGTTGAGTCTTTGAGACAGAAAATATAGATGTAAAAGAGAATGACAATATTATTTTACTTAGAATGTAATACAGTGCAATGTACTTGTTCATAAACATGTCAGAGTTATCTTTCTTTGCACTAGTATTTATAGTATTTTATAATTGTGTTTTGTAGGGTCTTTATATGAGACTACTGTTATTTTGTTGAAGTCCTAAGACCTTTAATAAAGAATCATTACAATATTTACAACCGAGTGCTGTTATAATGATGCCTATTTCCACCCGGTTTCATTAGTAGCTACGATTAGGTAAGCGGACAACATTTAAAGAGTGAAAAGTTTATTTAAAATTTTAAGTGGAAACAGGTCACGTGTACTGACAGAACGTTTTTGATAATTGTTGAACCACTTCTTCTAATAATTCAGGTACATGGGAACAGGTCACGTGTAGGTTTTACTGACAGAACTTGCTTGATAATTATTCAGCACCAGCCAGCAGTAATTCACAGTTGGAAATTGTTTTTTCCTAACCGTCTTTAAATTCCATCATTATACTTTTAGTGTTCGTCTATAGATTAATGAAGCCTTATGGAGCGTTTCTTTAGATTACTGTGTTTCGTTCTAAGTAAGCAAAACACCTGTAACTTGAAGACGTATTTCGTTGTACACAGAGTGAAAAGATTTGAATACGTCACACAGGTGACAGAAAAAAAAATTGTCATTGTAAGTACTTTATGGTTTAAAACTATTTTTATTATCATTACTAACAAACTCTAAACTCTGCAATTAGTTTAATTACCCTTTATGGAACAATCAATTTGTGGAACACTCGCTTTAATAATTATTTACCCCTTTTCATTAACAGATTTGTATACCACTTATACTGTTATAAATTACAGGTAAACAAAAATGATCAAGTCGCTGTTAGTATCTAACATAGGAATGTAGGACAGAAAGTCACAGGACAATAAGTCACCGACTGCAAGGGCTGTATAGACAGTCAAGGTCGTGAAAAAAATCCACATATATATAAACATAGTCACGGATAAAATGTCAAAATTCAGTTTTGAGATTTTTTCTTTGAACAAGAAGACCTTATTTTTAAAATATGTATTGCCAAACAGTCGGGGGACCTTCCCGGTGATGGTGTCGAGGGGTAGCTCGTGACCCGAGTCGATCCTTTTTGTGTTAGACTTGCTACATGTCCCTTCCTTATTATTTTTTTTAATTTTGCCCCTTTAACAATTTTACTGCTATAACTAGGAGATTTCCATTATACTGACATCTGCAGAGGAAGGGACTTGTAAAGTTTGTCTGAGGCTTGACCAAACTGTTAATCTTAAAGAGTAATTAAGATTGACATTTATTGATTAGAATTTCAGATAACATTAAGAAAGTGAAACTTGATATTTCAGGGTTGTGCAAATACTGTTTATTTATTTTCATTTTATAACTAACTAGAAAGATAAGGTCACTGAACTTATACATATGATGAAACATCACATCATTGTCAGAGTTTCTGGTGTTTCCAATGGCAGAATGTTCTACTCCAAAAAAGTTTTTTTAGATTTATAAAATTTACTCCAACAACTAAAAAAACTCTTTGTGTAATTTGTGGAAACAGAATTGAAAAAAGTGATTACAGAAGAAAATTATTTCATGGCAGCATCAAATCTGAATACTGTATTCTTATTGAAAAATATCTGGAAATAAATATTACAGAAGAGACACATGCAGATACTGCTTGTAGAAAATGTGTTAGAGAATTGCAAAAAATTGACAGTGTTTTAACAACATTTAAATCAACATATCAGAATACTTTGGCAAAACTACGTGAAACACATGGACATAACTCAGTTTCATTCAAAAGACAATTCTCTGAGGACGGTAGTGCAACTGTTAATAGTAGGAAGTCGTTGTTTCCTAGAGATGAGGAAATAGAAGACTCTGAATTCAATATCGACACTGAAACTGACACAGAACTGAAGGTATGTTTGTACAGTTCATTTTGATTGTAGAAACAGAGAAAATAATGAATCAATGTCCTTACATAATAAACATAATAAACATATCATCCTATGGCTAACTAAACGGGCAAAGTATGTGTACACTTCCCTTTTGATTTATTGACTTTTTGATAAATTTTTTTCCTCCAGTGGCAAATATTTCATGTGTTTCTGGATTAGAATATGATTTAAGCATAGTTATTTTCAGGTTGAATAAAAGATTTAAGGCATATTTCTTGAAAAGCGTATTTATAATAGCTGTTAATTATATCCTTAAGTTATATGTTTAAAATACCCCTTCCCCCACACACACACGCAAAATGAAAAGTTGATGCCAAAATTGTTAACCAAGTCAATGGAAAGCTATCTTTGTGTGAACTACCAATATTAACGTTAAATCAAATAAAACAACAGAACTTTTTTGAAAAATAAAATTATCACATTTTTTCAAAATGTGAAAATTATTACTTGAATGTCAAATATTTAGACATGATATTCACCTTTTTAATGAGGACCTTCTTATTTGTAGGTTATAATATGCCGTGGATTGAAAAATGAAATACGGTGCATGCCTTCGAAGCACTTTCCAATTCTTGATGCCTTAACCTCTGGTGATATGCCTACAGTTGGTTCATTTATTTCTAAAATTCCAGATTTGCAAGATGTTTTCCAAGAAACAGTGTTTGATACCATCAAAGGTGAAATTAAGACTTTGGCACTAATGGAGAATAATTTTACGTAACCATGACAAGAAAAAGTCTCTTACATTTGCCAGAGTTATAGATGAATGGAGACAGAAAGCTCCTACCTTTTTAATTTCAATTGAAGCATCGGTATCAAACCCAGCACATCAGTTTAATAAGTATAAAAAGGGCGAAGCTTTAATACCAGGCATAGTGACTGCTGGCTGTAAACTTCTGACCCTGTACAGCAAAGATTTAAATGCTTTTCAACATTTTAATAGCTATATTTTGTGGAAAGGTGGTTGCAAGAAATCTGTATTTTCTCGACTGAATGCCACATATGACTGCTTAAGCTACCAATCAACGCTAAGTTTGGCAGACTAGTTAGGGAATGGCTGGGACAAGGATCTTGTTGCTATGCAAAAACTAGTAACAACTGAAACGTCACATGAATTGGTGTTACTTCAGAACATACAGATGATCAAAGAGTCCATTGATTTGGTGAATGGAGATGCCGTTACAATGGTTCAACGAATTCTTGAACTTTCTAACGCGGAAAATGACTTGCATCAGTACAGAGATTTAATGCACCCTGGCTTTTACTTTGTAGGAGATAATGTTGATATGCGTACAAAAGTCAGGAATATGACAATCTATAATCAACACAAAGACCATCATATGTACCAAATATGTGCCTATGAAAACAGAATTTCAGGGAACCATCTAGACAACACTGTTGCCAAAGGAGATGCAAATACAGTGCCCTTCACTACTTTCATACCGAGTCAGTCAGAATTGGACAGTATATCTAGTGACTTCACTTTCCTAGTAGCGAAAATATGGAGTCAGCATATTCCACATTTCAACATATTTGCACCAGTCCTTCCTGAGTATATCGAACATCAGTACATGAAAGAAATGAAACAAAAACAACAAGAGTAAGTTGATAGTTTATGTGTTATTATTAACAAATTAATGAAAATTTTATTGATTGTTGTTAAATAGAGTCAGTGGCAAATATTCCATGCATATTACAAATAAGGACGAGGATGTAACATAAAATTTAAATAAATTTGATCAATCTTACACGTTGGTTGACAAAGGTTTAAAAATGGTTACTTTCAAATCATGCATGTTAATTAAGGTGGTACCCAACACCTTGACTAATATTGATTTGGCTCGTTTAATATTCCTAAAATTTTGACAAAATGTTTACTTTGACCCTTTGACAAAAATATAAAAATTTCAAAAAATTTGAACCAACCACTTTATCAGAAAAATTTCATTGGTTATATAGCAGTTTGACAAACACTAATTTTGATCATTGAGAAGCTTAATATTTCCTTAACAATACAACGTAATTTAAACGTTTAGCTGATTTTTACAGAGTTATCTCCCTGTAGTGTTAGGTACCACCTTAAGTCCTCAAAAGACACTGTTTGTTAAGGTGTCCTGCATTTTTTCTCTTGATATTTAGCAAAAGACCTATTTATACAACATATTTTAATAAAATCACCATAACTTCAAGTTTTGTTGATATTTATGTTAAAAATCAAGCGACAGTAAATATTTAAGTTTTTTCGAAAAGATTATAACCCGTAAACATAATAACATGCTTAACTGTGCTCATTGTTGAAGGCCGTACGGCGATTTATAAATTATAGTTGTTAATTTCTGTGTCATTGCTCTCTTATGGAGAGTTGTCTCATCGGCAATAATACCATATCTTCTTTTTTATATTAAAAAGTATTAATACAAAAGTACAAAAACATATATTTTTTTACTATATACGCATATATGAATTATAGTTGATTGCGTTTAATATCATGTACCTCATTTGCTTTTAATAGATAAATATGGGAGTTTTAATGAAAAGTGAGCAATACAACGAAGATATGACAGACATTTGTGAATTTATGCACAAGTATGTACCTGGACACAATGAAACAGCTGACTGGACAAAACAGCCAGAAAAAGTCTTGTCTCTTTGACACATTCCCATTCTCAATTTTATTGAGTGGAGGTGACTATTTAACTTTTGAGAGACACAAACAGGCACAGTTATCCAAACGAAATGGTCGAACTCCAACAAAAAGATTAGAGGGACTGGTGCCTAAAATGGAAGAATTTCACAACCAGGGAGAGTTGCTAAAGGTAATGTCTACAATACTCTACCTAAGAATGATAATTTGAAATAGATTATGTTGTATGTTGATATTAAATTTGAATATATTTGTAAGAAAAACACTTTTAATTCACCCCCAAGGGTGACTGGGGAATAGAAATATGGTCACCATTGGTCTTCCTCCGACCGGCGGTAAAACCCTCGCTAAAGTGGGGCGTCCGTTTGGCTGTGCGGGATGTACAAGTTCGCAGTCACGTCCGGTCAGAATGGGGACGTTAAATCCGATGACTCGTGTAAAGAGAGTGCCACGTTCTTTGCACGCTAAGAACCCTTGCAACAACTCTTTGAGGGGTCCGTAGGTGGCCTGTTGCAAGGCTAAATTTCTGTCCTTATCCAATGTACCCTTATTTTCCCGTGGCAGTCCAAATTTCCTCGACCTTCATTCCAGACGCCCCTATTACAGAACCTACCTATTGTATTTATTGTTAATTTGTTCTCGTCCTGAATATGCATGAAATATTTGCCACTGGACGTTAAGCAACCAACAATCAATCAATCAATCAATCACTTTTAATTCTTTGAGGAATGCATATTTTTTTCCTCGTTAAAACCGTAATCTTTCTGATTGCTTCAATTTCAGGTCATTTGGAAGTTGCTGTACTCAACCTCATCAGCTAGAGACCAGGGTACTCTGTATGCAGCACGCAATACCTTAAATGCAAGAAATGTGACCCAAGATCCGGCTGATGATTATTATGCAGCTTCTGATCTTGTTGAGAAAGTTGCCACAGCATATATTATAACAGGTGGTCTTACTCATTTTGGAATGGAAAGTATAGACTCTATACCTTGTAAACATGTGTATGATGGTGAAGTTGGGAATACAAATGACATGCAGGAATATATTTTTGATCAGGCACGCTCGTTTGTTAAGACATTCACATTGCCAGAAGTACCTAAACTTCCAGAATATGGGCCAAATTGCAATACGTATAATTGTAGATACTGTGGAAAAAAGTATAAACAACCACATTCACTCAGAAAACACGAATTTTCTATCCATGGTCATTATGACCTTCTTTTTGCTAAGGAAAAAGTTTCAAGTAGCAAAGATAATGAAAATGAATCTGATGGTGTTAGTGCGTATATAAAGTTGGTTTTAACATTAGGTTTATTACGAATGGATCGCAACGATGCAATTCATATGGGTGATGGATCAAGGATGTTGAGAATTGACCAGTTCCTTGTTTTGTACTATAAATATTGTCATTGTACAAAATACGCCTTTGGTACTTTGGAAACTATAGCTCAAACTGAAGTTTTGTTAACAGAACGCCAGGCACACAGACTGATATGGAACAGGACTGTAAACCATAGAGGGGACGTAAACACAAATCATCCTAATGATTTAGATGTAGAACATTGTAATAAGGTGTTTAAAGATTTTGCCCATAGTTACAGAGGTGTTTTTACTGAGAAAGTGGTTGCTAGAGTCAGTAAGAGTGCAATGAAAGTACATGAAATTATCAAACAGTTTGACAAAGTGTGTAATGTGCGTGTTCCATCAGGACGACATAAGACATGTGACAAGGAAATAGACATTATAACATTGGTCAGACAATTCCAGGCATGTAATTTATTCGATTTCATTCCTGGCCGATCACATTATGCCTATCCAAACATAAAGGAAAATCCCCTTACAGAATTAGACATCGAGTTTGTTAGAGACTGGATTGCTGCTAGTTTAAAAAAGTTTCAAAACAAACATTTCTGTTAGCAGAACTGTTTTATTATTTCAAAACATTTCATCATCTGAACTGTAAATGACTTGTGGTTTTCTTGTTGACGATTCTAAAACATCACTGTCACTATCACTTGAAAACATATCATCGAGTTCGGTAAAGTCATTGTCATCATTATCATCACTATCATCATTGTCCTCATTAGACATAATAGCTGTGTATATATTAGGAAGGACTTGATTACAAGTGTTTGTACATACACATTCATCTTCACAACTGCATGCACATTTGCATGAGAGACGACAAATATCACAACAAAAGTGAGGTATATGTGCATGTTCAACAATTGTTTTAAATATATTTAGAATAAATGCCTGTCTACATGTTTTAGATTTAACATATTCTTTCATAGTTGGGAATATATTTTGACTTCCTAAGCATCTTTTGTAAGTTAGCAGAATAGCATTGCATTGTTGTGAAGGTTCTCTACCAGCTCGACCAGATTCTTGTACATAGTCATCAACATCATTAGCTGGACTATAATGTATAACTGTATCCACACCTTTAACACCCAGACCCATGCTAAATGATGTTGAACATAGAACAACTCTTATATTACCATTTGGATTCATGTAGGATGTACAAATAAAATCTTTTACGTCATCATCCGTTTTCAAAAAGGCGATTTCTATTATCATTTGGTCCACCCTCTTTGAAGTCAATGTAAGCATCACGTTTAAGGGATATTTCAAGATATTCATATACGTCTGCCATGTGTTTGATTTGCCTAAAGCACTCCGAGGTGGGTGGATGACAAGAATGGTGAATCTTTCTCATTTCCTATGGCACAACAAAACCAACCCTCTAAATCAGCTTTAATACATAAAAAAAGAAAATGTGATGATTCAGTGCCCTGTCAGGAAGATGACAGTTGGCCCAGATTTATTGTAATAAAAGGAACAGATGAAAAACCAATTTCCAAAATATCTCCCTTTGTGATTCACAAACAAATTCAAAGCGTTGCTGGTACTGTAAAAAAAGTTTCAAAAATGAGATCAGGCAATTTGTTGGTTGAATGTTCCAACAAAAGTCAGTCAACAAATTTGCTTACACTGACAACAATTACAAACTTTCCTGTTTCTGCCTCTCCTCACAACAGTTTGAACAGCTGTAAGGGGATTATTCGAGACAGAAGTCAATACCTTGGTGACCTTACCGTGGAAGAAATCTGTGAGGAACTTTCAAGCCAAGGTGTAACTGATGTTGTTAGATTTCAAATAAAAAAGAATGGAAATATAATCAAATTAAATACATATCTTTTGACATTTAGAACTCCAACTCCTCCTCCATCTATTACTTTAGGTTGCTTCGGAATCAGAGTTGACAGGTTTATCCCTAACCCAATTCGATGCTTCACTTGTCAAAAGTTTGGTCATGGAAGCAAACAATGTCGTGGTACGCAGAGATGCTTCAAGTGTTCTGACGAAGGACACGAGGGAACAACCTGTAGCTCTGAATCTTCTAAATGCGTAAACTGTGGTGAATCCCATTTTTCATCATCTAGGGACTGCCCTGTTTACCTTAAAGAAAAAAATATTATCAAAATTAAAACAGAAAGAAACATCAGTTACCCAGAAGCTAAACAGATAGCTTCTGTTTCGAATGATCTCCTTGTTTCGAACAGACCATCGTACGCCAGCAAAGTTGTCCGCTCGTTCAGTCACGAGCAAACACAAACTCGCATGACCTGGCCAATTGATGCTGAGACATTTACAATGCTGCCTGTTGAAACAGAACCTAACGATAAAATATTAATTCCAAGAAAACCAACACCTTCTAAAACCAGTACTCAGTCAACTCAATCTTCCTTACAGAGCTCAATGTCATCATCTAAAAAAAATGAAAAAAAGAAATCAAATAAAAAAGATACAGTTAAATCAGACAGTTGGGGCGGTGAATCTGTCTGGGATCTTCCCAGTGACATTGATGATTCTTCCATCTCCAATAGTCCTCCTTCATCTGCATCTAATAAAACTAGTTTATCTTCTGCATCTAGTACAAAGTCTTCTAAAGCCCCGTCTCCTCTTCGTTCTCCAGAACAGAAGGATGTCCCAAAGAAGCCAGCAAATACATCCTCTCAGAAGTCTTCTGATTCGAGGTCGCGGGGTAGGGGTCGAGGCGGAGTAAAACCAGCTGCGCATGGTCCTGGAGATCGACGACTCTCCTCACACAACAGATTTTCAACACTTAACGACGAATCAGAAATGGAAATCGAAAGTGTTCCGCCACCCGAAAGATTACAATCTCAGGGTGAGCGAAATAAGAATGCTGGCAAACTCGATAGCATTCGCCCGTCTATTAACAAAACATGACTAATATCATCCAATGGAATTGCCGAGGTCTTAAAATAAATCTTCTCGAGTTAACGCTTCTAGTTCAGTCTTTTTTACCTACTGCATTTTGTCTTCAAGAAACTCATTTAAAAGAAAGTGACAATGTATCTTTAAAAGGATACAACATGTATAGCACATTTTCTAAGGTAGATGAACGTGCTGCAGGCGGATCATCTATTTTTGTGAAGGACAACATCATTCATAGCACAGTCCAACTCACCACGGATCTGCAGGCAGTTGCAATTCGTTTATCATTAGATAAAACAATTACATTATGTTCTATATATATTCCACCCAATTCAATTATCGATAAAGCTAAACTCAAAAACCTCACTGATCAATTACCCTCACCATTTATACTTATGGGCGACTTCAATGCACACAACCCCTTGTGGGGAAGCAAGTCTCATAATATCAAAGGTAAGATCATTGAGGACTTTGTCTCTCAAGAAGGATTATGCATTTTTAATGATGGATCTTATACTTATCTTCATCCTGGAAACGGGTCTTATTCTGCTATTGATATCACTATTTGCGATCCCTCTCTTCTTCTGGATTATTCATGGCGTGTTCATGATGATCTATGTGGAAGTGATCACTTTCCAATAGTACTTGAACATCTTTTTACTTCTGCCCAACAGAGAGTACCACGTTGGAAACTTGACAAGGCGGACTGGTCCTTGTTTGAGAATCTCTGTCAAGCGGAACTTCAGTCAAAGATGTTTGAGACTGTACAAGATCCAATTTTAACTTTTAATACAGTTTTAACGTCAATTGCTGACAGAACTATTCCTAAGACCTCGGCAAATCCGAAACATCCCAGCAAACCATGGTTTGATGATGCTTGTGATCAAGCAATAGGTGACCGTAAAAAATCTGAAAGACGGTTCAATCAACAACCAACGACGGAAAACTTGAGTAATTTCCGTGTTTTTCGCGCTAAGGCACGGCGGGCTTGCAGGCAAGCACGACGAACGTCTTGGAAGAAATTTGTCTCGGAGATAACATCTCGCACTCCGATGACAAAAGTATGGAACATGATACAAAAGATAAAAGGTAAAAATTCTAAAGCCACAGTTAAACATTTAAAAAATGGCAATGATTTATTAACATCTGAAAAGGATATTGCCAACAAGCTTGGTGAAACTTTTGCGAAATCTTCTTCTTCTAACAACTACAGGGAAGATTTTAAAAAAGTTAAAAAAACAAAAAGAAAAAATTAAATTAAACTTTAAATCAAAAAATGGTGAAAATTATAATAAACTCTTTTCTCTTGAAGAACTTAAAACATCTCTGTCAAAAGCCCATGATACAGCTTGTGGGCCTGATAATATTCACTACCAACTGTTAAAACACTTGCCAGATTCCTCGCTGGAAGCTCTTTTGCAGCTTATGAATAACATCTGGGAATCTGGTGATTTACCATCAATCTGGAAGCTTGCAACCGTCGTGCCTATTCCAAAACCAAGTAAAGATCACACGGATCCTATTAATTATCGGCCAATTGCTCTTACCAGTTGTGTCTGTAAAACACTAGAACGGATGGTCAATGATCGCCTTATTTGGTTCCTGGAATCCAATGGGCTTTTAGCCAATATCCAGTGTGGATTCCGCCAAGGTCGCAGTACTCTTGACCATCTTGTTCGATTCGAATCATTTGTCCGTAATGGTTTTGCGAAAAATGAACATGTAGTGTCGGTCTTTTTCGATCTAGAAAAAGCCTATGATACTGCATGGAAGTATGGTATTTTAAAAGATCTCTTTGATATGGGGTTGAAAGGCAATATGCCAAATTTTATTTCGAATTTTCTATCTAACAGACAATTTAATGTTAGAGTAAATTCAACCATGTCTGATCTGTATGATCAAGAGATGGGTGTCCCTCAGGGCAGTATTTTATCTGTTACATTATTTAGTCTTAAAATCAACAGCCTTGTTGAAGTTTTAAAAAGTAATATTGAAGGTTCATTGTATGTTGATGACTTTTTAATATGTTATAGAGGCAAAAATATGAATAACATAGAAAGACAATTACAGTTATGTCTTGGAAGAATTGAAAAAAAAAATGGGTTTAAATTTTCCACTTCAAAAACGGTCGGGATGCATTTTTGTAACAAAAGGCAATTGCATCTTGATCCAGAACTCACTTTGTACGGCAACCCAATTAAAATGGTTGATGAAACCAAATTTCTTGGGTTAATTTTCGATAAAAAGTTAACCTTTCTACCCCATATCAAAATGTTAAAATCGAAATGTTTAAAAGCATTAGATATTTTAAAAGTTGTCGGCAGCACCGACTGGGGTGCTGATCGCAACATTTTACTTAATTTATATAGATCTCTAGTTAGATCTAAACTAGATTATGGCTCTATAGTGTATGGCTCTGCAAGGAAGTCCTACATACAGATTCTCGATGCTGTGCATCATCAGGGTTTGCGTCTCTGTCTTGGCGCATTTAAAACCTCACCAGTTGAGAGTCTGTATGTAGAAGCTGATGAGCACTCACTCTCTAACAGACGTTTGAAGCTTGGACTTCAATATGCTGTCAAACTAAAAGCCTACTCAGATAATCCTGCCTACAGCTGTGTTTTTAATCCAATTTATGAAGATATTTTTGCAAAACATGAAAATAAAATTCCTCCGTTAGGTATACGTTTAAAATCACATTTAGCTTCTTTTGATTTAAAATCTGTTGCTCAAGTTGAAACTTGCAAATGTCCTCCATGGGAACTTCCCAAACCAAAAATGATATTTGATCTCCGTGAACACAATAAAAATAAAACAAATCCTCTTTTAATTCAGCAACACTATGCTGAAATCAAAGCCAATTATTCAGATTTTTCAACTGTCTATACTGATGGATCAAAAGATGGTGACAGAGTTGCATCTGCTGCTGTCTTCAGGGACAGAGCTGCAACTCTCCGTTTGCCATCTGATGCATCGATCTGTACTGCTGAAGCAGAAGCAATAATTTTG